AAAATTATTAATACGCGCATTCAGGTAACTAATCTATTGCTCTATCGCATGGGTATATCTGACAACAGTAATTGTACAAAATGCGGAAACATCCGGGACACGCTAGAACATAAGTTCTGGCATTGCCTCAGAAGTCGTAGGTTTTGGGACATTAAATCATGGCTATTGAGAAATATATTTCAAAAATAAACGGGGCAGTGGACCAGCATCAGAGAAAAAATGGGAGGGTGTTGCTGATTTCCAGGAATCGATACTGGGAGAAGAGTAGTTCGATTCGATTTCCTTTTATGTATTTTTTTTTCTCGTTGTACGATGGTATGTTTTTTTTTTGTTATGACTGCGGAGCTTCATTTGAGCGTGGGTATGAAATTAGGGCGCCAATGCGTGGGCATTAAAAGAAAGGGAAGTGCAATGCGATTTAGTAATGAGTGGTTGGTTGTTGTTGGGTTACGATCACATCCTTCGTTATGCACTATAAATTTGTTGGGCTCTGAACGGTGTGGAAACGAATAGTATATCTGTGTGAAATGTGAGTCCCACTTCAGACAAACTTGTTTGACGGATAGTATACAAATATACTACAAAAAAAAATAGCTGGCGTGGGTTTCTTGAGCCTCGTGACAATCGAACAAGGGCCAGAGTCCCATACGCCCATGGGGTCTATCAGTTGTTTGGGGAAGGGGGGGGGGGCAAATGATATGATGGCCCCCTGATTTGCCGTTGGGGGGCATGGCCCTGATGCCCCCTTCCCCCCTCCTGCGACTGCCACTGCACTGAAAGTGGAAGGGGGAGGGGCAGATACAGACATTGCTGGCCCCAGCCTATTTGAACCGAGGTAGGAAGGCATGGTCATTGGTCACCCTGGCCCCCAGCTAGTACGCCTTTGACGAACTATGCCGACCCCGAGCACATCCGGCCAAGCGTTGGTCGTTTGTATACGCATTCTGCTGCACCGTGCTAGTATTGTCTTATACCTTTTCAGTGCTCGCTGCCCCGCCTCGTAGTCAACAAAATGCTGCCATCAGGACCCAGGACTCCCAGTTATGCTTCTGAACCTGAACCACAAAAGAAGATGAAGAAGCTGAGTGAAGTGCTGAAGGGACATGAAGAACTCTTCAGTGACATTCTGGGAACAATGAATGGTCAGGAAGCTGATCTGGAACTGAAGAAAGACGCAGAGCCCGTCTTCAAACCAGCAAGGTTCAATACCTTATTACCTTACAGTCTGACTGATGCAGTGGAGAAGGAACTGGGAGTAATCGAAGATCTGAAAGATGATGAGCCAACGCCAAAGTGGGCAAAACCACTGGTTGTGGTGCCCAAACCAGATGGAAGCGTACGCCTCTGTGGCGACTTCAAAGTGACACTGAACCAGTACCTGAACGTACCAGTGCATCCTATGCCGAAGACCGGAGACTTGCTGGCAACCATCGGACCTCCGAAATTCATATCTGTGGTGGATCTGTCACAGGCCTATCTGCAAATGAAGCCGTCAAAAGAAAGTCAGGAACTGTGCTACCTGAACACGCCGTTTGGACTGAAACGGATGCTGATGCTCCCTATGGAGTCGCGTCAGCTCCAATGCTATTTCAAAGAGCGATGGACCGAATCTTGAAGAAAGTACCCGGTGTCCAATGTCTACTGGATGCAGTGCCGTAGCCAGGGGGCACAGGGGGCACGTGCCCCCCCCCCCCCATCGGGTCAAGGGGTCTCTCGGGCCCGAAGGGCCAGAGGGGCCCTGCGGCGCCAATTGGCCATTGAGTGTCCATACCGGCCAAATTTAGACCAAGAAGGGGCCCACAGAGCTCATAAGAGCACCTCATGGACCCCTTAGTAGCCACACGAGGATCCCCATCGGGCCCCTTTCCGGCCTTTGAGGGCCCCTTGGCGGCTTCTGAGGGCCCTTACCGGCCTATGAGGACCCCTTACGGCCTGAGGGCCCCTTGCCGGCCTCTGGGAGTCCTTACCGGTCCATGAGGGGCCAGCTCTATGGGCCCTACACCCACCTGTAATAGCCCCACACCAATGTCTCTGAGTGCCCCATAACAGTGACTGTGAGGGCCCTCACCGGCACCTCTAAGGGCCCACAACGGTCTCGAAGGTCCCCCACACGGGCCCGAGGGGCTCTGTGGCGCTAGTTGGCCGCTAGACTCCGCACTGACCATATTTCGACTCAGACGGGCCCAACAGGGCTCGTAAGAGCACCTCACGGGCCCCCCTAAGTAGCCACACTAATATCTCCACAAGAGCCCAAGCCGGCTTCTGAGGGCACCTTGGCGGCCTCTGAGGGGCCCTCGGCGGTATCTACCGGCCTCAGGGCCATTGCGGGCCTAAAGTCCCTTACTGGCCTATTAGGGACCAGACCAGCTCTAGAGGTCCCACACCTGTCTCAGATGGTCCCACACCAATATCTCTGAGGGTCCCTAAGGGCGACTGTGAGGGCCCTCACCGGTGCCTCTGAGGACCCAAACCGGCCTAGAAAGGCCCACACACGGGCCCGAGGGGCCCTGTAGCGCCAAATGACCGCTGAGGGTTAACTGGTCATATGTCTGGTTATATTTCGACTCAGAAGGGCCGAACAGGGCTCGTAAGGGCATCTTATGAGGCCCTAAGTAGCCACACTGAGATCTCCATAAAGCCCCTACGCTGACTTCTGAGGGCCTTTGCTGGCCTCTAAGGGCCCTTACCGGCCTATTAGGGACCGACTCTAGTGGCCTCACACCCGCCTGTGATAGCCCCACACAATTTTCTCTGAGGGCCCCAATAACAGCGACCGTGAGGACTTTCACCGGCGTCTCTCAGGGCCCCACACCCCCAATTCTGAAGGCCTACACAAGTACCTCTAAAGGCCCTACATCGGTGGGTCTGAGGGCCTCACACCAGCGACGCTGGCAGCCCCACACTGGTAACTCTGAGGGTCCCACGGCGTCTGATAAAACTATGCCGGTCTGTAAGGACCCCACTGGGCTCCTCTGAGATCTCCTTGTCGGCGTATCAAGGGTCCACAATAGCAGCTCTAAGGGCCCCACGAGCGCCTGTGATGGCCCTGTGTCTCTGAGAGCCTCCACATCGGCGCCCGTGAGGGGCCTCACCGGCGACTGTGAAGGCCCCACACCGGCGCTTCTGAGCGTCCCAAGGCGCTCCCACACTGCCACCACTGAGGACCCTACATCAGTGCTTCTGAGGGCCCCACATTGGCATTCCTGAGGGCCCCACACCAGTGCCTCTTAAGCACCTATATTGGTGTCTCTGAGGGCCCATCATCAGGGCCGGCTCCACACCTGCGTATCAAATGGCCACCAACCGGTGACTTTTGAGGGCCCCACATCGGCGACACTGAGGGCCCCACCGGCGTCTGAGAGTATCGTGCCGGTCTCTAAGGACCACAGAGGGCTTCTGAAGGTATCGCCAGCCTCTGAGGACCTCTTGCTGGCCTGAGAGCCCTTGCTGATCTCTGAGAGACCCTGCCGGCTTGTAAAGGGTTCGGACCAGCAGCTCTAAGGGCCCCACATTCGTCTGTGACAGCCCCACACCAGTGTCTCTGAGGGCCCGCTACGGCTACTGTGAGGACCCTTACTGGCGCCTTTCGGGGCCTCACACTTGCACCTCGAGGACCCACGCCGGCACCCCTTTGGCCTCAGTCAGCAATAATGCCTGCCTCTGAGGGCTCACACCGGCACTTGTGAGGGCCTCACATAATGCTTCTAAAAACCCCTAACCAGTGGCTCTGAGGGCCCTACACCGGTGATTCCAGGGGTCCTACCAAAGGCACCACACACGTCCTTTATAGTCTCGCTGAACTTCAATCCCATACCGGCCTTCTGAGGGCGCCACGCCAGTGCACTCATTGCCCCACACCGGCAACTGTAAAGGCTTCACACTGACGTCTCTTAACCCTCGCCCTGGCAGGGCATTTTTCATAACACGGCCTGGCAGGGGGGGGGTCGATGCGACCCCCCCCCCCCTCGCGATTGGCTCCTATGGCACCTAGAAACACCAAATTTGGTAGGTAGGTGGGCCTCCTGGAGTTTTCGCCCCTGTGCAAATTTGGTTGCTCTAGGTCAATATTTAGGGGGGTTTTGGGGGGTATAAATGTAAAAATTTCGCTAAAAACAGGTCAAAAGTTTTTCGCTTATAACTTTTGATCTAATTAAGATAGCGCAAAAAGAAAAGCACCAGTGAACTCAGCACGTCAAGGCGCGTCGAATGATATACTTTTTAGCCTGCCTAAGTGTACTTAAAGTTTTTTCTTAAATTTTAAGTAAACTTAAATTAATAAATTAAGTTTAAGTTAACCAACTTGCATCATATCGCATATCATTCGATTCGGCTGATCACTAGGAACACAATGATACCATTTTTGAAGCTCTAGCGTCATTATGTGCCAAGTTATTGGCAAAAACGTCATTTGACCTCATTTGACCTCATTTGACCTGACCCATGGATAAGCACACCAAACAAAGAAGCACCAAGTGACCTGCTGTTAAGTACTGTGGTTTCAAAGCACAAAAGTGATAGAACGAAGCGGATATCTCCAGTATCTTCCGAATTTAGTATTTTCCCATAGGCTTAACATTACGACGTAATGACCTCTAACTGACCTCAGGTCATTGACCTTAAAAAACCCGAACTATATGTTATACGACTCGGTGAACTTGGCACATCCTGAAAGTTTGAAGGAAATCAGTCCAAAACTGTGAGTTGGACAGGTGCAAAAAGAAAATTGAAATTTGACCATGACCTTGTACCGGTTTTTCTGACCTGGTGACCTGACCCAAGGTCACCCGGACCTGAAATTTTCAGGTCATATGTAAAAAGGTTGCCCCATAGGCTGTGCCAAATTTGGCGGCGCTGCGCGCCGCCGTTTTTACGCTATCCTCGAAAAACCTTAGGGGGGGTCGCATCGACCCCCCCCCCCCTGCCAGGGCGAGGGTTAAGAGTCTAACACCAGTGCCTTCCTCTGAGTGTCCCACACCGGCTCAATGGGCACGGCCACTCACCGGTAACGCCGATGATCCTCACCGGCGACTCTGAGGGTCCTACACAGGTGACTCTGGTCTGAGAACCTCAAAGGCTTTGACCGGTGCCCCTCTGTCCTCTGAGGGCGCCGCACTGGCATCCTAAGGCACCACGCTGGTCTTTGGGGGCCCTACATACAGGCATTCTGAAAGCAGTACACAACTTTTAAGCAGCCACGCTAAGCACTCAGGAGTCCCACGCCGGCATCTGATGGCCTCTAAGCTTTTGACTTTCGTGCTTGGCTAAAGAGGGCCCAACCCAGGCGTGAGCCTGCAGGACGGGATCCAGCCACATGCCTCTCACCCACTCAGGTGCCCTACAGTAGACCGAGGACTCTTTCAAGTCACTCAGCTTCAGATGACTCGTGAGTCTCTTTGCGGGTTCAGATGACTCGTCTCGGTAGGCTCACATCAAGCGATCGCACAGGGCCATTTTGGGGCTTCAATGGTCGTTTGCGATCAGAGCGTCTCACCTGACGCTCTCATGGGCTGAATCCGCTAGGTGAGTCCCTTTGACTTATCGAGCCCAAAATGTAAAACATTGTGCTGGGCAGCATACAGAGCCCGCCAAAACGTGCGCTCGTCCCCTTCACTTGCGCACGTTCAGGGTAGCAGCCAAACTGTGATAGCCATGGAAATGCATCCCCTAGTCCACACGATGTTCATCTATCGGGCATGTTTCAGCGCAATTTGCCAAGTCAATGCGTAGCTATTGTAAGCGCAACAATTTTAAGCACCCCTGACTTGACACAAGGCACGTGTCGTGTCGTTCACCCACATGCATCAAAGGTGGTTTATTAGATCATGATCGAAGAGATGGATCTCCCTGATGCAGGACTGCTTGTCGATCGGTCGAGCGATTGATGAGGCATGCTTAAAGGTAGTGTGCCAGCTTTCCTGGACCGTATGGAGTTAATGGCCCAGATAAGGAGAACCGGATTTTTAGAACTTATCCATACCTTCAAAACTCATGGAAACGTCTTAAATTCTTCAAATTTTGAGTACCCCAGTGCGAAATTCGCCCCGACGGGTTGTCGGTCGTACCCCAACCACATTTCACACCACTATGAACAATAAATGCACACACTGAAATCGCTATTACCGATAGGCTCATCCAATCAAGTTTCGATAAACCCGTTCATCATCATCTCCTGCGGTTTCGAACACGCCTGTTAGGTGGTGCAGTAGACCGCGCCCAAAGCCAGGGCCCCGGTAACGTGAGGTAGCCGAGTCGGGGCAGCGTGCGCTGACCCAAGCCGGGGCCGCGCGTCCTACCGGTGTCATGTGATAGTCCGGGGCTGCCCGCGGGGATGCGGTAGACCGCGCCCAAAGCCGCGGCCCCGGCTTGGGTCAGCGCACGCTGCCCCGACTCGGCTACCTCACGTTACCGAGGCCTTGGCTTTGGGCGCGGTGGTGGTGCGTCGGGCCGCGCGCTCTGACTTCGGCCAAGAAAAATGCGTCAGCTGATCATTGTCATTTCTGCCACTTTCATGTGGTGAGATGGGGTCATAACTTTAGAGACGGCTGTTTCATATCAATTATTTTACATAAAATAATATTTCCAACCATAAATTAATGTTCGACAGCCAAATTAAAGAAACAATACCAATTTAAACTGTAAACCTGTATTGGTATTACCAATACAGGTTTACAGTTTAAATTCGACATTGTGTTGTCTACGATTAGACAGCTGATAACTCATTCCCGTACGTCGTAACTCTATAATGACCTTTGCTTATTGTCACATGTGCGCCGCATTCGTGATTGTTGCCGACGCCTGTTTGCAAGTCAGCCCACTACAGTTGTTATACATATCGAAAAACCGATAAACTTTTAGGCGAAAAAAGCACTATTTTAGGCCCATTTTGATTTTTTTTTTTGCGATATTAGGTAAAAACAGTAGCTTCTTATCCTAGGAAAAATAAAATGGGAAATCATTCAAAGGTGGCACACTACCTTTAAGACTGAAAAACGTCACAGGTGGGGCATTCCACGATAGATCGACCAAAGCCGTACACCCTCATATCTTATTTTTTGCTTAAAATTGGTCTAATGGGTTGTTATGGGCGGGGAAGCCAGCTGTGCCAAGGATTTTTTCTTCGAACAACGGTTTCCGAGATATAGCCTCAGGCAATTCCTGGAGGTCACGCTGCAACCCTATGTTTGGCGGCTTATAACTCAGAAACTATTGGTTTTCTATGGTAAAAACTTTTTATGGTTCAACTCGCAATCAACCAGCAAACGTTTTAGCTATCTCGGATTTTCGATTTTTTGAAAATTTTGATCACGTGACATCTTGATCTTTTTTTCGAAGAGTGACCTTGATATTTTCCCAAATGAAAGTCGCAATTTTGCCTGATGACGATTAAAGCCTTATCAATTGTCATTCATATGCGACAATAAAAAAGTGACTTTCGGCCTGCATTGACCTGATTGACACCGGTAGATTAACTTAGACTCTTGCACGCGGTAAACTTGCTCATGTGGCTGGTGACCGAGGTGGGTTGTGTGGCGGCTGACACCGACATCAGACTTTGGTGCCCGGCGGCCGGTGCCGTGGCGGCGGCCGGTGTTTTATCCCTTGGTTTACCCTTACCCAGACCTGGGCCTCGTTTCATAAAAGGAATTACTTACGGCGTTCCGTCAATTATGCCAGATTTGGCGTATTTGATGCCAATTTTTTGTATGTATTTATTTGAACGCCCACAGGTATGACACCCATTTACAGACGCAGTCCGATACTAAAACCTATAAATACATGTGCTCATGGGTTGTCAAATATAGGTACGTATAGTCATGTCAGAGAGATTAAGAAGGCTCTAAGAGACTTCATAAAAGTTCCTCGACTGGCGAATAGGTCCACAGATGCCACATGTTCGTACATGCCGTTCACTTGTCTCGGTAAGCGACAAAACATTCCGGCCCTTATCGTTTCCACCCTTGCGGTGGGTTCGTGCAGTATCGCCCGTCCTCGAGTCCGCCTACATGGAACACACAATCCAAACATCCCAACAATATCGGTGGACCTAATGCGACCAGAGAACACCGAATGAAGAAAAGTGAGATCGCGCTGCACCAACCTTGCCCGAATACAACTCACACCAAAATGAGACAGAAGCTGATGGTAATCGAGAGACTGAGAGGGCCGTGTGGAATGAGTTGCCAGCCAGATGAGCATCTTATGCTGGATACGTTCCAGACGCTGTATATGTGTTTTTGAGGCCCCAGCCCATACTATGCTACCGAATTCTATCACAGAGCGAACGTGGGCATTAAAAGCAGTGATAAGAGGCTCAGGTCGAAACCGTCTCCCCCTCGCAGCACGAGAGGTCTGCAGCGAGCGCAAGTACACGCCAAGCGCCCGGTTCGCACTCCTGACGACGCCGTCGACGTGAGGCCCAAAAGTTAATTTTGAGTCCATGAGCACACCCAGATCGCGCATCACAAATACACGATCTAAGGTGATCCCATGGATGGAGTAGTCGAAATGGACTGGTTTAGTGCGGAGAGTGAATGTAATCTGTTTACATTTTGTGGGATTCAATTGCAGCTTCCAAGTAGTTGACCATGTACAGAATTTATGTATATCGTTTTGAAGGGCGACAGCGTCATCAAGCGTGCGAACCGGGCGGAGCAGTTTCATGTCATCAGCATACATGAGGCACGACGAGTTCAGGTAAGATGGTAAATCGTTGCAGAATAAAATAAACAAGATCGGCCCACATATGCTGCCTTCCGGCACGCCCGACCCAACACGGGCCCAGCCAGACGTCTTCCCGTTGACCACCACTCGCTGCTCTCTCCCACAGAGGTAAGACTCGAACCACCGCAGGGCAGAACCGGAAAGATGATAGGAGTGACGAAGTTTGTGCAGGAGAAGAGAATGGTTAACGCTGGTAAAGGCAGAGGAGTAATCGGTGTAAATAACATCAGTCTGATGGCCCGAGGCGATAGCGTCCCACAACTGCTTGACGAGGCAGGTCAGGTTGGTCTCACAGGAGCGTCCGGCCAGGAACCCGTGCTGAGCCGGAGACAACACAGGGGCCACGTGCACAAGTAACTGGTCACACACTACTCGCTCGAGAATTTTGGAGCAAATTGACAAAAGTGACACAGGGCGGTAATTGGCCGGGTCTTTCCTGTCACCTTTCTTAAAAATCGGCACCACATTAGCCCGTTTCCAGACCAAGGGGAACTTTCCCTGGGCAAAAGACAAAGTACAGAGCTTGGTTAATGGCACTGAAAATTCGTCTGCACACTCTGATAAAATTCGTGCACTAAGACCGTCCGGCCCGCATGCCTTGTGTACGTCTAATGATAAAAGAATACCGCGCACCGTCTCATGCATCACAGTAAAACGATCGAGATTGTCAATGTCATACGATACACAGTCGGGGAATACATGCACACGCGGGTCAGAAAATTTGGCAGCGAATGACCGGCTAAAACATTCGGCACGCTCAGTGTCGTCAGTCACGATGCGACCGTCACATTTCAAGGCCGGTACACCACGCCCCGCGGACTTGATGGACTTAAGAAGCGACCAAAAACGTTTCGAGTTACTTTTAAAATCGTCCACTAAGTGTAAAATATACTGCCTGTACTTCGACGAGACGATACTTTTGAAGCGCGCCCTGCGATCGGAAAAAAGTGCTAAATTGTCCGCTGTGGGCGCCCTTTTCTTCTGGCGGTGGGCGGACTCCTTCTCACGCAGAGCACGTTTAACATCGGAGTCAAACCAGGGCGGGAACTTAGCTTTCAATGTCACTGTCGGAACAAAATCAGCAACAGCTGCCTCTACCCACTGATAAAATAGCCCTGCAGCGTCATCCACATCCATGTCATCCAACACGTTCCATGGTAAAAGACGCAAACACTCCTTTAGTCCAGGGAAGTCCGCTCGGCGATAGTTGAGCGCCGTGCTACGGGTAACACGTACAGGAGTCTGACGTGGGATAGAGAGTGTTACTACGGTCTGCATGTGGTCTGACTCAAACAGACCAGCATCCACCTCGCACTCACAGTGATTCAAATTTGAGATCACTAAAT